GGTTTGGGGTTTCGGGATTAGGGTCATAGAGACCTCGCTCACGCCAACGTTCCATAGAGGTGCATATGAGCTATAGTCTAATTCCTAGTATCCCCCTTAGTGGCCCCTGTTATAATACTCCCCTGGAATAATTCCCTATTAAACCCCTAAGCCCTAAACCCTGCGCCCCAAATAAAGAGGAGTTATATAACCCCATATATACCCCCTGAACCCTAAACACTAAAACTCTGAACCCAAAATACAGGGGGGTTTTTACAATACCCTATATAACCCCGTTTAAGGAGTTTAGACTGTAGCTCATTTAGGCACTAGGGAAAGCATAGAGGAGGTTCCTCTAAGCACTGCCGATTGCTGGGCCTTTCCAGGGAGGTGGCCCCGACCCCTTGAGGATTTAGGCTTGAGGACTTCAGGTAAAGGTCTTAGGGTTTGCGGTTTCGGGTTTAGGGTCTAGGGTTCAGAGTTTAGGGCTTAGGGTTTAGGATTTAGGGTTAAGGCCATATATATGTATGTATAGTATTTTCTGGCATGTATATTTTACCTTTTATGTACGAATAAAAAGTAGAACGCGCATGCATTCACATACCTACATGTTGTACGATCCAGGCTTTGAGGCTTCTGCGCGGTTTCTTAAAATGGAAATTGGGTCATTCAGGGATATGTGGGAAGATGCAGTCATGTTCATATATATATATATGTATATATAGATGCGCATATGCATATATGTAGGTTTCCGAAGATCAAGGCCCTTTCGGGGAACCTCTTTCAGACGCACGGTACTATGCACCTGCAAGGGGGACTCCCAGTCTGGAATGCCCGTAAGCAGTGCATGTTGGACTGCATGTGTGGTGTCAGCCCTAAACCCTAAGCCCGAAACCCCAAACCCCCAAACCCCAAGGCCCTAAACCCTAAACCCGAATCCCTAAACCCTAAACCCGCATCCCTAAACCCTAAACCCTAAGTTGTGTCAGGCGCTGCAGAAAGAGAAGACGGATTGGGAGCACGAAAAGCGTGGCATGATGAAGAGGTACGAAGAGCTCCATCACTCCAAGGCCGGTAAAATGTAGGGTTTAGGGTTTAGGGCTTAGGGTTTTACATATCTCCCCTAGGGGTTATAGTGGGGTAATATTGGGGATTATATAAGGATAATGGAAAAGAAAATGGAAACTACTATGTAGGGTTTAGGGTTCAGGGTTTAGAGGTTAGGTGGACCCCCACCCAGTAATAGTGACTATAAGGGATAAGCAGGACTATATTAGTAGCGTTTTATATTCCTATAATACCACTATTACAGAGTGGGGGATCCTCCTAAGAGATTAGGTTTAGGGTTTAGGTTCAGGGTTTGGGGGTCAGAAGTCTAGGGTTTGGGGTTTAGGTCTAGGGTTTAGGGTTTAGCGTTAGGATTGGGGTTTCGGGTTTACCATACCCAGTTAGGCGTCTCGGGATGTATGGGTCTGCTTGAGGTTGTTGGGTACTTGAGAAACTGGGGTTAGACCTCAGCAAACTATAGTTATAAGCTAAGCTGGAGGACTTTTAGCCCTACTTATGGCAAACCTTAAGCCCTAAGCCCTTGAACCCTGAATTCATCAACCATACGTCAAGGCTGCAAGATTCTTGCTGTGCTCGCTGTGCCTGCTTCCTTTATGGTTTAGGGTTTAGGGGCTTCCGCGTTGGTCCATGGGTAGTTCTAACTAGACTGATGGTTAGGAGAACAGCAGTCATACCCTAGTTCAAAGGCCCATCACCACACTGATACTATGCCGTAACCCCATATATATATATACACATGCACACATCCGCGCACCCCTCTCCCCATGTCCCCCTACAAATTCCTTACAAACTCCCTACACAACCCTAAGCTCCAAACACTCAACCCTTATGCAAAGCTACCTGTTAAACCTCCTGAACCCTAAGCCCTCCAGCTATCCCAGTTGGCAGGTGCAAGTGGCGCAAGAAGAACTCCGGCGCAAAGAGGCCGAAGTTTTTGCATGCGGTGAAGGTTTGTAGGGGATTCCGCCCCCCCCCACCCCCCGTAAGTATGTCATGTGTGTCACACCGGGAATTTGTAATGCTAGGGATGGGGGGATGTTTATGAGTGGTTGTTTGACGTCAGAGAGAGGTGGCTACTCCTGAAAACGGACACCACTAATCTTCACACATTCCTCCCAGGGTGTACCTCCATTTTGAGAACCCCCCCGACCCCCAAAGTGGGATCATGTGTGCATGCCAGGGGCTCCTAAACCCCAAACCTAAACCTGAGCCCCAACGCAATAAATTCCGTAGACCAGCTTAAAAGCAATGCCCCTTAGCCCTGGGATGTTTCCACTCTTGATTTATGGGAAGTGTGCCTGCGCGGAGGAGGAGATTCGCTCGCAGAAGGAGATCAACAAGCAGTTCGAGGCTGTCTGGCTTACAGCTTTCGGGTTTGGGGTGTTGGTGGGAAAGCCCTATCAAGTGAACCTCATACACCCCTACAACCATCTATTCCCTCATATTCCCTATCCAGCCCTAAAAGCATAAAAACTCTGTACACCCAATATACCCTTGTTGCACCGTGAAGCTATTAAGCCGAAGAGGCCCCAACCGTACACCCCAAGCCCTAAACCCCAAACCCACCTTAAGCCCTAAACCCTTGACCCTAAGCCCTAAACCCTCGTCCCTAAAACCAAACTGGACTGCGGTGTCTCAATGCATGGTGCAATGCGGACCATGCTGGTGCGCGATGCCATGCCAGACGCAACGTAGGTATTTCCAAAACTTGAGGTCCTGCGCCGGTATTTCCCAAAGTAGTATAGCCTTTGGTATATGGACCTTCGAAGGCCCTAAACCCTAAACCCTAAACTGTCGAAAGCCCTAAACCCTTCACCTACAACCCCATGTGCAAGATCCGGCAGGAGAATCTCCGCGCAGAGAAAGCCAGCACCAGCAGTCTCAAGGCCAGCGAGGGCCGGGCCTCTAAAACCCTAAGCTCCTGAACTGCTACTTCCTCCTAAACGCTAAGCCCCGTAAGCCCCAAACCCCCTCAAACCCTAAACGCCGTAAACCCTAAAACCCCCTCAACCTGAAGCCGCAGCCCCCAAACTTCCCTAAAACCTGGGTAGGCCCCTGGGATATTTAATATTTTCCCTAATGGCTTTAATAATTAAGGGACCTTATATACTAATGTTTTTCAAAGGGTTTTAGGGGCCAACCCAGAAACCCTACACGCCTGTCACGGCTCCCAGTCAGCTCCTCTCAGGGCAAGCTGAAGGAGCTGGAGGAGCATTGCCGGAAGCTCAAACTTGAGGCGCTGCCCGGGTTAGGTTCTTGGGGTTATATAGGGTTTAGGGTTTAGGGGTTTAGGGGTTAAGATTTAGGGTTCAGGGTTTAGTATAGGGTT